CAAGTTTTTGAAGTTGAATCTGGTTTTTGTAACTGATGAAGTACTACTTCATAAGGTTCTAAAGATATGACCAAATGTGAGTAATGAGTGATGTTAGTGTTTTTTAATTGGACATATCTAAATAGTTATATGTAAGTAAAAGGGAACATGAGAAGAGAGTGAAATATTAAAGACTGGACTATAGCTTCAGCATCAATACTTATGAACACTTCGTAATTTATATTGTTAAGTGGTTACAATCAAGTGTTTACTTTCTTTTCTCTGATGCTCAATTGTTTGTTGTTATTCTATGTGCCCTGTCTAAATTTCTTGTGAGGCATTCTGTCGGGGACACTTCTAAGTCCCTTTTATCCCAATAGATTTATTAAATCTTGACATCTGGATTTGGCAGCGCTATTATAGTTATCACATGGAAGCTTCTCACTTTTTTTTTATGTGAATAATTGACATTTATTAGTATTTTTTTAAAATAACATTTTATTAGTATTTATATTCTGTTTCCATGGTATTTAATCAGTTTGGATGTCGAAAAAGAAAAAGAAAACTGAATGGCTGGTGGAAACAGGTACCAATATGTTTCCTATTCAGCATGCTACTTGAATCCCTAATTACTTGGTAAAAGTTTGTTTCATTGGAGTCGGCACTTGAATCTGTAGATCTCATGGTATTATTTTCGTGAACTCAAGTATTATTTCTCAGTTGAGAGGTGGTTTGTTTACTTCTTCAGTTAAATAATAAGTTGTGTTCATTATGACACTTGGGTGATACCTGAAGTTGTTAGGTGGTCAGTTGGGGTAGAACAGATCTTAGACTCGGAATCTAAAGATGGAGGATTTATCTCTTACAGTCTGATACTACATAAAGCATTTTTGTTCCTCTGCAATTTTGAGTGTTGGCTATCTGTGTTACTTTGATGATTAATGAGCATTATATAAGTTCTTGCTAACATTCTTCATTTCATTTGTTGAACAGTCATGTTGACATTATTGGTTCCTTAGGGCTCTGGTAAACTTTTCTTCAGAATATCATTGATTATTATCATAACAATTAGGTGCTGATTAAGTCTCAAGTGAGTCTGATGCGGTTTGAATGTTTCATGTGCGTTTTTAATTTCCAAGCCTAAGACCCATCTCTTTCACTGTGCACTGTGAAGGGGGAGTTTGAGGTTCAGATCTGTTTTCATCTTTATTAGACATTTAATCTTCATTATGCACTTGGGTCACACAACCGGGGTCTTGAAGTTTGTGGGTGCACTAAATATTCTTTATTCTTAAAACCAGTCGTTGATTTGTCAGTCTAGAGCTTTTCTTCATTGCACAAAGTTTCTCTGTTTTGTATTATCTTCTGGTGGGGCATCTAGATACAGCCAATGATTGATAAATAACAGATAATGCTAACTCTACATGACATATGAACTTATTTCTGTATTAAATTTTTTTGAATTGTTACTAATTTCAATTGGAATCCAAATCTGGAATCTCAAGGTACTATGTAATTCTTGCAGAGAGATGATCCAGCATCGGCCATACACACAGAAAGTGGATGTATATAGCTTTGGGATTGTTCTGTGGGAACTGATCACGGGATTGCTTCCATTCCAAAACATGACAGCAGTGCAGGCAGCATTTGCTGTTGTGAACAGAAGTGTAAGGCCAGTTATTCCCAATGATTGTCTCCCCGTGCTGAGTGAGATCATGACTAGATGCTGGGACCCCAATCCTGAAGTCCGTCCTCCCTTCACTGATGTTGTCAGAATGCTAGAGAATGCTGAAACAGAGATACTGACCAATGTGCGCAGGGCCCGCTTCAGATGTTGCATGACTCAACCAATGACAATGGACTGATGCAGAATAGAAGAATGAAGAGATGGTAAAGAGAAAGAGGATATATAAGTGACTGGAAAGGATAAACAGGATCAAGAATTTTACATATAAGTTTGTGTATCTATTGGTTTTTTCTTTTTTTTTTTTTCTTTTTTTTTGCCAGATATAGAGAAGGTAATTATGTAGATTGATGGTTTCTGCATTTTGGTGTCATTGGACTGGAGTAGCCATATGGAAGGTTGTAGCTGTTTAGTCATAGTGTTAGTGGAGAAGTGATGGATGATCTCCTCGATGCTATACATACAAGAAATATATGGAGCCTTTATATATGTATTGCTGTTGGATGTTCCTTTTATATATATATATATATATATGTATAAAACAAAAGTAAGCGATCTCCTTGAATCCATTTATCCCATCATTCATAACAAATCTTGTCGTGTGGTAGTTGATGCTTTTATTTATTATTGAGAATCGTAAGTGGATAGAATGGAGTTCATCTGTCCCGCATTTGGTGTCTAAAAATGCAGAGATGTTACGGTTGAACTTTGGATTTGTTTGTTGAGGATTCATGAACCTGTCTGCTTGAAATTACTTCCAGGCAACTACATATTTTGTTCTGGCATATAAATTAATTTTTGTTTTTCCAATTTTGCATTTGTTAGTTTATTATGATTTTTGTATAACATTAAAATAAAAAAGTAAGTCTTTCAATAGAGTTTAAAGATGATAATAATTAAATATGAATTTTTAATAAGAATAATCAATTTGTAGATATTTTGAACTTGGTGCTTAATAATATACATGCAGATGTGTGTAATTTGTATGCCAACATAGTTTATTGAAGCTTCATATTTTTGTAAACTTATAATTAATTGACTGATGTATCCATAATTCTCTGTTATGGGCATAGACATTAGATTAGATTAGATTAGATTATATGTCCCAAGTATTTATCCATTCGCCATAGGAGATGGAGATACAAATGTTTTTCTGCTACAAGCAAAGTATAAACTACAATGTAGTGCACTCAGACCATACATAAAATACTTTTTTTGTACTATAAAACTAATAAAAATCTAAAATACCAGTGATTAAATTCAACATACTATTGCTGATCTAAATTGTTTTATTCATTTGTCTACCATTAATCAAAATATGTTCTTCTATTTTAATGCTTAAATAATTTTTTTATATTTATACAACAATTTTAAAAAGGTCATTTTCTAAATCTGTCAACTAAAATTAAAAAAGATTAAAATTAACTTACTGATTTTTTTAAAAGTAAGTAAAAATATATATAAACTTCTTCTTTGTAAATGAATTAATTAAAATAAAAATAATATATATTGTTTAAATTTTATTTACTAATACAAAAAAAATTTTACATTAAAAAAAAAAAAGAGATATCTTAGTAATAATAACTATGACAAAGTCTAAATTAAAACATATATTGTAGTACAAATAGCACTA